TAGTTGGCATGCCAAGAGTCGAGGGTTTACCTATGTCTTTCGAGACATATGGAAAGTTTACCTAGGTTCTTCGGGACCTCTGGACAATTACCGAGGATCTTTATGACCTCTGGACAGTTATCGAGGATCTTTATGACCTCTGGACAGTTACCGAGGATCTTTATGACCTCTGGACAGTTACCGGGGTCTTTGTGACCTCTGGATAGGTCCTTCGGGACATTTATATGAGCTGTGGTGACAGCATAGTGGTGCACAACCTCAATAGACTCACATATCTACAGTTCTCACAGGTGCACATGGGCTAATAAGAGAGATAACATGAAATGTACTGTATATGATATATGTGTATTAGTGATTATTGTATATGCTATAAGATATACGACTTAGCGTGTGATTGTTTCACACGTAGGTTACAGAAGTGAGAAGAGTAAGGAGCTAAGAGGAGCAAGATAGGTCAGTTCTCCTTACCCAATTGTCATATCAGAAAATATATGTACTGTATATAGAGTGTAGTTGGCATGTAGTCTAAAGACATAAATTGTATGAACTCTGATATATATTTTGTAAACGTTTTGAATAAGTTAAATGTTATCAAAGTTTTTAAATTACTCACTATTTTATACGAATAAATGTTTGAAAAGTCAATGTGACACTTCGGACTCGTATCCGGATCGGATACGGGTTGGGGGTGTTACACCAAACCTCTAAAAATGCACACAGATCAACCTAAAACATGATAAAATCACAAAGGGGATCCATAATTAGAAGTAAAATAAATAACCACTGGAAAATATAACTCCATGCTTCCTAAACAGCTTTCACCCTAAGCAGCTTTGGCATTTTTAGTTTTTTTCCTCACTAGCTATTTATATGTGAATGTGTGTTTTCTTTCCATGGTATTTTGTAAGGTTTGATAAGGTTGTTTTCTTTGTGTAATTAATCAACTGGATTTTTTTTGTACTTATGCTCTATGTTCACTCTAACACTGGCTATTTCTTATTGCCAATTTGTTCTCATCGATTAATGTTTCTGTTCTATTATGCCTGAATCTTATTAGTTGTAATATTTCTGACAGGTTCTTCTTACTGGAGTCCACCTGCACATTTGGTTAAATTTTCTCCAATACGAGGATCGATCATTGAACCTGGCATATCATTGATAACAAAAGGGAAACGAGGTACGTTTTTCAATATATGATATATGACATAAATTCTTAATAGTATATCAACATAAATTACATCCACTTTAGCTTAGGTAAAAGCTTAAATGTAATATGAACTTTAGTTTTAGGTAAAAGCTTAAACGTAATATGAACTTTAGCTTTAGGTAAAAGCTTAAACGTAATATGAACTTTAGCTTTAAGTAAAAGCTTAATACTTCATATGAAACTTATACATAATATTTAATATAATTCTATTAATAAAACAATAGTGATTATAATTTATTATAAAGTTCACAAATCATAAATATTGACGTCTAATTTCTTTTATATGGAACATAATTCTATTCATAAAACAATAGTGGGAGTCGCTACTTCAGTATTGGCTTTTGGGGCTCTTTGGATTCATATACTAAAATCTAGAAAGCAAATAACTCATGAACGTCATGTGAATCGAGATTGTGAAAGAGAAAACTACATTAATAGTATTTTATATAGAGGTGACAAGAATTGTATTGACATAATACGGATACGACTGGTTGCGTTTTTTAATCTGTGTGACATCCTTACTAGGAACAATTTGTTGCAGTTGACAAGAGCGGTGAATATTAAAGAGCAAGTTCTCATATTTTTACATATAATTGGTCATAATGTAAGATTTCGAGTGATTGGATCAAGATATTATATCAATTGAAACAATTCACCGTTACTTTAGGATTGTATTGAGAGCTATTTTGAAATTATATCAATTAACCATTAGATTACCCGATGAGTCAACTCCTCTTGAGTTAAGAAACAATTATAGGTTTTACCCATATTTTAAAGATTGTGTCGGAGCATTAGATGGAACTCATATTCGTGCATTTGTTCCACCTAACATTCAAGGAAGATTTCGTAGTCATAAAGGGGGAACAATACAGAATGTATTGGATGACATTACTTTTGATTTGAAATTTACTTATGTTCTAGCTGGTTGGGAAGGTAGTGCGCATGATTATCGTGTTTTAATTGATGCACTTGCATGTCGAAGAGGATTTAGTATTCCAGAAGGTAATACTTAGCTTTAAAATAAAAAATAATTAACTTAAATTCATAATATATTAAGTAATAATAACATTTTGTCAAATTGTAGGTAAATATTATCTTGTTGATGTTGGATATGGCATCCGAAATGGAATTATTTCTCCATATCTTAATGTTAGATATCATTTAAAAGAGTTCACCAATCATTGTCCAGAAAATGCAAAGGAACTGTTTAATCTTCGTCATTCATCATTGTGAACCACTATTGAGTGAGTATTTGGAATTTTAGAGAAATGTTTTCGTGTGTTGAATGTTGAACCATTTTGGGATTTTCAAACACAAGTAGATGTAGTGTTGGCTTCTACTATCATCCATAATCATATAATGGGAGTTTATCCTAATGATTTAATTAACGAAGAATTATATGAGGAACACGAGCCTCATTCGATAACACCAACTCTTACACAACGGGAAAATAGAGAAGAAGCTAGAGAATGGGCTACTAAGAGAGATAAAATTGCAGAAGCTATGTGGAATGATTATATACATAGAAACATTTAATTTTATTTAGAACATTTTTTTCAGTATTTCTATGTTACGTATGTTGGATATTGTTGTTTTTAGTTTGTTGGATATTGAAATTGATAATGTTTTTAGATTGTTGGACATTGAATATAATTAGTTGGATGTTGAAATTATTATTTTAAAATTTGTTGGTTTTATAAATGTTATGTTTTATGTTTGTTGGACATTTATATATGCTTGGGAGTTGAGTGCTTGGTGTCTTATGTATTAGGTGCTTGGTGTATATTTGAGGGTTGATATTACAAATTGTTACATAATTGTTTGATAATTTATGTTTGTTAGCAGTCTAATTACTTACTTTTTTATGATTATTAATGTAGAAATGAGCACATCAAAATATTTTAGGTGGACAAAACTAATAGAACATTTATTTCTAGAAATATTTGCATAGGAGACACAAAAAGGTAATAAGCCATCTAATACATTTAGAGCAGTTTCTATAAATCGAGTTGTTATAGCTATTTCCGAAAAATTTCAAGTCCAATGTGTCACCAAACACATGGAAAATCATTTGAGGACTATTAAACATACATGTAAACTATATGTACAATTCGTGAATAAAGTGGATTAGGGTGGGAAAAGAACCTGAGAATGATAACTTGCGATGAAGTGACATATTATGCTATAGTGACGGTAATCTTTATATACTTATTTTTAATAAATGATATTTGAATTTTACTTTTTATGCTAACTGTGTATAATATTTAACAGGCACACCCAAAATATGGATCATTTTTAACAAAAAAAATTGATTTTTATGATGAGATGGCTCTTGTTGAGTTGTTGTTAGTCAAGATATGGAAACAACAGTTTTGCTAAAACCTTTGCTGATATAGAATTAGATGATGTTAATGAAGGTTAAATGTCATTAAATTTCGACACTCAACATATCGATGAGGAAAAAACAAAATTATCTTCATCTGGTATATCAAAACATAAAAGGAAGAATGTCCAAGACAATGTCGAGGATGATCATATTAAATTTGTAGGTGAGAAACTTGGTGAGATTGCAGAAGCACTAAAAAAATTTACAGAGGATCAGACAACATATCTTTATGAAGAAGTTATATCAATGGAGAAATAAGGCTTTGATGATGAATTTCTTTGTGAGTGTTCGATTTTTTGACGAAAAATAAGTTGGAGGCCAAAGCTTTCTTGGCAAAAAAACCAAAACATAGGAAAATTTGGCTTCAAAAGTTTCCTCAAAGTTAGGATGTGAACTTTTAATGTGGAGTACTACTATTTATGACTTAGACAATATCTAAACTTTAATGTGTTGTAGTACTATTTATAGACTTTAATCATATGTTGGTTTGATGTGTTGTAGCACTAATTATGAATTAGACAATATCTTTGTATTATTATGGTTTGATAATATCATTATCTTAATGTGACGTAGTTTTAATTAAACACTTTGAAAATATTATTATTATTTCAATGTGATGTACTATTGTTGTTTTAATAATGATGTAATTTTAATTATATACTTTGATAATATATTTTTAATACATTATCAACATTATATTAATTAAACCTACATATAATATTAATTATGAGTTAAAATTTAATTTTAAAAAATGCTAATAGATAAAGTATAATGAATACTTCAAACCTAAAATTGTGTATTTATAACACAATCAACATAATTAGTATATTTTCTACAAATTTTAATTTCATGTACTTATACAAATAAAACATTTCATTTCAAAATTTTATAAAGTACAATTTTATAAAATAACTTAAAAAATTTCAAATGTAAATAACAAGAAAAATATATACATTTTTTCAAAAAACAGATTTCGTAAATTATTTTTAAGAAAACTAACTAAATAATATAAAAAAATTTACAATACAATATCCAAACAATATAATTAGTATTCTGAAATTGATTTTATAAAATTAATTTTTTTAAAAATCAATTACAGCTAAACAAACGGATATTATAATATATGAAATAATTTACTCAACAATTAAATATGATATCAATGAGGGTACTTAAGTCATTCAAATAAAAGGTCATGATTAGTCAAAAAGTTAATTACGATTGGTCATGAAGCCGTCGTTTCTCACCACCTTTCAGTCTAATACGACGGCAAAACCAAAATACAAGCCTTTAAGCCCACGATTGATGACCTCATCACTTTTATGCCAAACCTAACATCAAAATCACCATAATCATATGCATTTCCTTCCTAAGCCGCCATATATAATATCATCATACATACATACATACATATATACATACATACATACATGGATACATACATACCCTATAATCCTCCTCTCTCCTCTATATATTCGCTTCTCTACCTCCATTTCATATCTCCAAACAACACTTTACTGACCCTCTCAATCTCCCAACTAAAAGCAAACAATTTGCTAAACCTAATAAAAATCAAACCATGGGTGAGGTTAGTTGGTATCTCTTTTCTTGGACAGTCTCTCTGGTTTTTCCCTTTCGATCTTTCGAAGATTTTTTTTTTGGCTTGTGCTTATACTGTTCTGTTATTTGTTTTAAAAGCAAAAGGAAGGAGCTAAACCTGAAGCCGAGAAGAAGCCCGCCGCCGACGCTGGCGCTAAGAAAGATGACGGCGTGATCACCGCCGTTTATAAGATTGATATGCATTGTGAAGGCTGTGCCAAGAAGATCAAACGCTCGATTAAGCATTCTGAAGGTAGTTAATAGAAGTTAAAATATTAAATTGTGTTTTGAAAATTTTCAAAGGAAATTCCCTTTGGCTGCTCCTTTTGGATTGTTCGTTAAATTTTGATCCGGAAATTGGATAAGAATTGGACTTCGGTGCTATCTTTTCAACCTTAATTAGAAGAAAAAAAATAAAGTAATTTCAAACGTTGGCGTAAATGGAAATCTAACCGAAAATTACCTAACACGGATCGTTGTTGTTGTTGGTGGTGAAGGCGTGGAAGATGTACAGACAGATTCTAGAGCCAACAAACTGACTGTGATTGGCAAAATTGATCCCGCCAAAATCAGAGAGAGATTGGCTGAGAAAACCAAGAAGAAAGTTGACCTCATTTCCCCACAACCTAAAAAGGATGCCGCCCCGGCCGGCGGTGATAAAAAGCCCGAAGCTGAGAAGAAACCTGAAGAGAAAAAAGAAGAAAAAAAGGCACCTAAAGAGGTAATTTTACCACACAAACAAAAATTCCAACGTGCGCATGTTCGACATGCGAAGTAAACGGGGAAGATGAGTTGTTAAATCTGAAATTTAGATTAATTAACGATTAGGAGGAGTCTAGTTTAAATTACCAATGTTGATTTGTTGAATTTCGTATAATTAATCGTGATTAGTTTTTGTTTGGTTACAGAGTACGGTGGTCTTGAAGATGAGAACACATTGTGATGGTTGCATTCATAAAATCCGCAAAATCATTTTGAAGCTTGATGGTAAGTTAATTAATTGTGATTATTTTCATTAAATAACTATTAGATATTAAATTGATAGCGTAACATAACTTTATCTTGTTTAACTAAACATATGAAATTCTGATTTTTTTTTTTTAATTAAAACAGGAGTTCAATCGGTCGACGTGGATGGAGTTAAAGATTTGGTAACCGTGAAAGGCACAATGGCCGCGAAAGATCTCGTTCCTTACCTTAAGCAAAAGTTGAGACGGAATGTAGACGTGGTTCCTCCTACGAAAGACGTTGCCGGTGAGAAGAAAGACGTTGGTGTTGAAAATAAAGAGAAAGTAAAAGAAGCTGTTGTAGCCGGCGAGAAGAAGGAAGGAGGTGGTCGAGAAAAGGAAGGCGGCGATAAGAAGGAAGGCGGCGGAGAAAAGAAGGAAGACGTCGGAGAGAAAAAGGAAGCCGGCGGAGAGAAGAAGGAAGAAGACAATAAGAAAAAAGGTGACGGTGGTGAAGCGAAGATGGAGGTGAGCAAGATGGAGTATCATGGATACGAGTATCAACCACAGCCAATGTACTGGTCGAATGGACACGTGTACGGAGATCCGGGTTATGCAGTTGAAGGGTATCAGGATCATCATCATGATTACAGATACGTGAATCCAGGGTATATGCTTCCTCATCCTGGGTATCTGAGTCAAGGGTATGCGATTGATCCACGTCATCCCCTACATGCACCTCAAGTGTTCAGCGACGAAAATCCGAACGCCTGCTCTGTCATGTAAGAAAGATTAACGGTGAATGATTAAGATCTAATGATAATTAGATTCCAAAAATTAAAAAGGCAAAAACAAATGTAAATATCAGAACTATACAAGGAGAGAAAAGTAAATAGGGAGCTCATGAAAATGAACCATATAAACCGCAGATTATAGAGTAGACCTTATAGGGATGAACCGCCTTCTTAGAGCCGACCGGCATGGCTAAGAGATGGTTAGTTGTTGGAGTAAGGATGGCCGGTGGTTGCTTTTTTTGTTCGTTCGCTGTCTAATTTTATTATTTGAATTAATGAAAAAAACACTTTATGTATGAAGAATTTTTTTATTGTCATCGTGATTTTAAATTTTAGAGCTTGGTCTTTATTAATTTAAATGATTTATGTCGTATATTTAATTTTAATAGGTAAATCTCTCAACAATGATTTTTTTACAGATCTCGAATTAAAAACCTCTTAATTAATAAAATAATCTTTTAAATAATATTTATGATTAAAATTATAATACGAAGAATGAGATAGGTTGAATTAAAAAGAATATATTATATCATAACATTAAAAAATATTATATCATAATTTTTTAAAATATTTAATTAAAAATAATTAATTAAGTAATTGAATATTATTAATAATTATAAAATTAAATTAAGATAAAAATAGTCAGCTCATTTAAATATTTAAAATTTTAATAAATGAAGGAAAAGAGAGTTGAAAATATAAATAATAAAAGGGGAATTTTGATATTGCGGATGAGTAGTTAGGTTTTGTCAAGAAGTGCAAGGATTCAATGGTGAGTGGTCCTAACGGAGGTTTCAATCTTCAAGACGAGGAACTAGCCACTAGCAATCTTATCTTTTAGTATTACTATATTTGATAGAACTAATATCGGCTCATCCACTTCTTTTTGAAAAATAATTATAAATTTCTGTAAATTTACAACATATTTCCACTATGACTAATACGATTTTAATTACACGTTAAAACTTGATAATCTATATATATATATAAGTGTTAATCCAATTAATTATATAGCGTAAAAATTTTTAATTTTATAACGATTTTAATTATACATTAAATTAAAAAAAACTCGAGAAAAACATCTATATATTTCTAAATCCTTCACCATTCAATCTCCCTCTACCTCCCTACGGTGGTAGAGGACTTAGATACTAACTAACAATCAACCTCTAACCGACTGTAACTATGTTACCTAATTAGAGTAGGTGAACCACCTATAGTCTATAGATGTGATGACTCATTTATTCCTAAGGAGATCTAAAAAGATCCGTACGAGATAAATAATTGAGGTACAATAACTGATAATCGTCTAATTAATTAATCATTAGATAATTAATCCAGGTAAAAGATAGAAGAATTATACAAGTACATTGAACGATGACTTGGAATAGTTCATCAATAGTTTTTTTTAGAAAACCTTCTTTCTATCCGTTGTGATGTGACAATAAAAATAATGAAAACAGAAGACATAAAAAGAACTGAATCCCTTTTGATAAGGATCTTTGTCTTCTTCTCTTTCTTGTCTCTTTTTTATCTCTTGGATTTTCTCGAAGATACTTTTTTTTTCAGTCACCTAATCACTCTCACACTAATAATTCTTCTAATGGCTTTTCACGAGAAAAAAAATATCTTTATCCATTATTTCTCTTATTGATCATCAACCATAATGATAATACATTTACTTATAAATATGCCTTAATCTTACGTTGAATCTCTAAAATATATATATTTATAATTATACTTAAATATTCTACAATTATGAAACTAACACTAAATCAATCAAAAATTTATTAGGTTAAGGTACACAAATGGTCTCATGATTATATGATACTACTTTGTTAAGTTCACGACTATTAAAAGTTACAAAATGACCCTCCGATTATAGGAAGTTGTTTTGTTGAGTCCATCAACTATTAAAAGTTACAAAATGGTCACTCGACTATCCGTTATATTTTAAACTTGTCATTTTCCGTTAAAAATTAACGAGAGTTTAAGCTAGACGTTAACTTGTTAATTGAGATATAGTGATAAAATATGATATCATAATCTCAAACGACTATCATATCTTAGTCAGTATGTTAATTTCCAACTCAGACGTCAGTTAATTTTTTAACGAAAAAAGGACGAGTTTTGAATATAGTGAATAGTAGGATGACCATTTTGTAAATTTTTTATAGTCTAGGGACGTAGCAAAGCAACTCCCTATAGTTAGGGGACTATTTTGTAAATTGTAATAATCGGGAGACTTAACAAAGTAGTATCCTATAGTTTGAGGATCATTTGTATATTTTATCCATTTTATTAATAGAATATAATAATGAATTTATGAGAATAGATGAATACGAAATGCACGTTTGATCATAGCGAAAGGGCGTGAAAAGCATAACTTTTTTCATGGCAACAAAGGTTATTTATCATAATTAAAAAAAATCTGAACCTTTTACACTCAATGTCAGTGTCATATTTTTTCTATAATTATTCAATATTTGATTTTTAAAATTCAAATTTAAATATTATAAAATAATTTTTAAAATCAAATTTTTCATTCATAATATTAAAATTTAAAGCTTAAATACTGTTTAAAAAATTTAATATCATATTTCATTAAATCAATAATAGCTTTTAATACTAGTGTCATATTCACTAGACTTCTACAAATATTGGTCCTTTCAAGTTAGTTTTAACTAGATAACTAGGCTATATTCTTTAGAAAATAATTTAAAAATCTATTATAAATGTTACATTTAGTGTTTTGATACACAGTTTACATTACTTTTAAGAACTTAAAATTTTTTAATCTAAATATATATATTTTTGCTGCACATCCAGATCAATCCGGATCGTACACCTGATTATGGTGAGTGAGTCCCCCAAGTGGAGATTTTTTGTATACAAAATAGTTCGAACTTGAACCCTACTTAAACGATATCAAATTGATTACCATTTGAACCAACCCGTTGTATATAAATTTTAAACACGACATAAGTTTAACCGTTCATTTTTGTACCTAGAATTTCAAAGGAATAAAAAAGATTATTACATATCTCATTATAGATTATATTCTTTAGGGTAAACTACAAGTTTAGTGATCCAACCATCTCTTTTGTTTTGTTTTGGTCATCGAACTGTTTTTTATTTCAAAATCATACATAAAATCACGTTTTGATCACCCACCATTAAAAAAATAACAGTAATGTTGATATATCAATATAAGATAATGTCACGTGATCATTGATTTTTTTTTAAAAATGCCACTTTGATAGTTCTGTTAATTTTTAACTGCGGGTGACCAAAATGAAATCAAAACATAACGTGAGGTATGATTTTGAAAAAATAATTAAGTGACCAAAACATAACTTTGGATTTTGCGAATAAAACAAACTGAGTTTGAAGGATCACTTTTATCTCTACAATACTCGATATGAATTAATCAGTTAATAAATTAAATATAAGTAATTAATTCAGAAAAGCATCATGAGCAAGATAATGTGGATGTTTATTATTTCATTCTGTTTTGTAATTATTTACCTTTTTCCCCCTCTCCTCTCTGTCTTTCTTTAATGATTAGCTCTAAGAAATCTTTCTTCTCCAAATTGGCTTTAAGAATTATGTACTTTAAAAAATTAAAAGTATTATTATGATTTATCTATTTATTTGTTTATTTATTTTTTAAAGTGAGGTATAATTTTTAAAAACACCACCACCATCGTCATCACATTCAAAAATTAACCCAACCATAGAATAGTGGGAAATCATACTTGCACTTCATAAAAGAAAAAATGATAAACAATGTATTTAGTCATTCAATTATTTTTATGATTTCGTTTTGGTCATCACACTGTTTTTTTTAAAATCATAGTTAAAGTTACGTTTTGATCATCCGTCGTTAAAAAATTAACATCCATGTTGATGTGTCATTATAAAGTAATGTCATGTCATTATTGAAAAAATTAAAAAAAATATCAGGCAAATAGTTTTATTTATTACGGGTGTCGAAAATAGATGTAACATTATGTATGATTTAAAAAAAATAGTTGGATAACTAAAATATAATATCGAAAATAGTTGAGTGAGTAAATATGTAATTTACCCTAAAAATATTTATTATTTAAAATCAAAATTTAAATGTATAAAAATAATATTCAAAATCAATATAATGAAAATATTAAATCAATTTAAAATTTTATATTTATAACAATTATAATTATATTCTATTGTGGATCATTAAATAATTTTTTGAAGATGAGTACATATATATATTAACATCATAAATTTTTAAATGGAGTGAGCATACTGCACACATATATATTAACAACATAAATTTTTTTATGGAACAAGCAGAAGCAAAATTCATGGTGGACATAATTAATAAAATAAATAACTAAAATATGTCAATCCTCTCAAAAACATAGATCTGCCACTGATTATGTTAAAAAAATTATGCAAATGAATCCCATTCCAAAACTAAGACACATATATAATTGTGATTTAGAATATGAAAACAAAATATAATAAAATAGTAATGATATTTGAGTAAATGTATGGAGTTGATGAATATTTGGGATTGATTCATCCCATGGGAACAATGATTTGACTATGAAAGTGGGATATAATTGAGACTTTCGCAAGCTAGTGAATATGTGGGAGAATTCAATTCACTTTTCCTAAAGATAAGCCATGAAATGCTTTCACAAAAACATGTCTTAGCCACCTGTCCTTTGCCAATAAGCAACGTTAAAAACGACAAACCCTAAATTGCACGAATGAGTTGAAACAATATGTAGAAAATAATAATATTTTTTAATAGTTTGAGTTGATTGTAAGGTAATATATGTTTAAGATTTTTTTAATCATTGATAAAGCATATGTATCTTAAAGACGTAGCTGTTTGAATCAAAGACATTTTAAAGGAAAATAATACTCTTTTTAAACACTGAAATCCGTTAAACGAGTTCCAAATATAATAGTATTGTAACAATTGTTGGGTGATGAGGGAAATGGAGAGTTTCGAATGCAACGTGGGGATTGTTACGTAGATGTA